GGCAGCAGGTGACCACAAATAAAGTGAAACATTTCCTGTAGGGCAGCATGGTAGTACAATGACATTAATGAACTCCTGACCTCCTGTTCAGGTTGTCAAACTATTCTCATACTGGTTGACCACAGTATATCGTCTACATAGAATTAAATAGCAGTTAACAATGCATACTCTAAACCAAGAAACAGGCTCAACTGTAGTGTTACCATGACAGTGTTTCCTCTCCTTTAGTCACATACCATTTTCTGACGACTACCCTGTTTTCCACTGATATTAACTTAAGTCTCCTAAAATATACTTAATCCTCTGTGTTGCAGGCGAGTAAATGTCCTGAGGGAACTAAACCTATGCTTGTGTTTGCCGGAGAGGCCTTTGATACAGACATTGAGCACAAACGTCTGAAGAGTCTGCTCACAGGTACACACTCGGGATATATACATTCTCCCTGCAGTTGTTTTAGGTGAAAACTATATGTCTGCTAATGTTGGCCCTTGTCCATTTCCTTACCCCATTGTTCAGACTTCTTCAGAGGCCCCACTGTGCCTGCAGTGCGTCTGGCAGGTTTAGAGCATGTTCTACACTTCACTGCCCTGGATGGGAAAATATTCATGCGCAGCTACAGGTACTGAAACTAAACTAACTTTAAAATCCTCTTTGCATGTCAGTTGGTCAGAGATGTTAGGCTTTGGGTGAAAAGGGAGCACATTGCCAACTCTGTCTACTTGGCCTAGAAATGGGTTTGAAGAACAGTAAGTTACACCACTATCAACTCTGTTTTTTTTTTTTGCTAACTTCCACCATGACAGAAATACGGATGTAATGTGTTACTACAGGTGTCTGTTGAAGAAGTCTGGGTGTCGGACACCACGGATAGAGCTGGAGGAGATTGGGCCTTCATTTGACTTTGTCCTGAGAAGAACACATCTGGCTTCAGACGACTTGTACAAGTTGGCCCACAGACAGCCTAAGGCCCTAAAGGTAAACGTCACCTGGATAAGATTACTGTATATCATTTGACTTGATTTTATGACAAATGGGAACAAACTAAAATGAGAGGCCCCAGTGCTGGAAAAACCGGATTACAAAAATTAACAAAATGTGTTTCATGTTTCATGAGTTTCAGTTAGTTTTTCATACTTACTATTCAAATGTTTAAGGCCCCATGATACTGCTTATTACACAACAAAAAAACACAGCTGGAAGGTTGGAAATGGAAATATATTTTCAAGATGGCGCCAGAGGAAAGGTCATGTTTTTACCTAGATTTAAAAATGTAAACCTCTGTACAGTTCCTTTTTCAAAACATTATTCTCTTCCTCTTTTAAATATAATCTAAAATTATTCTCGCCATATTGTTTAATATTTTATTTGATGGAGTTATGCAACCATAAAGTCATGCACAGCAAAACCAGCATACCCAAATTAACTCTGTCAGCTGATTTTAAATATTTTGAAGTGTGTATATGGGTCCAGACCACAAAGTGTTAATTTAACTCTATTTGGAGAGTCAGTACATTTATTAACTCTTTGTGGAGTTAAAATTTAACACTTCTTCATTCTAACCAGAGTTAGTTTTCTCAACACTTGTATAGTGTCATTAAAGGTCCAGTGTATAAGATTTAAGTGATCAGGATCTATTGGCATGAATATAAAATAATCCTAGTGATGTTTTTTTACTTGTGTGTTTAATCTAAATTGTACAAATTGTTATTTTCTTTACCCTATCGAAAAGGCCCTTTATATTTAAATACTTTATATTATCATCGAGGGGGTCCTCTCTACGGAGGCTGCCATGTTTTTTACAGTCATCCAAACTGGACAAACTAAACACCTTTTGAGTTTTTATTTCAACTGAAGTCTACCACAGGTTCTTTTTCATGTTTGGAAGGAGAGGGTGAGGTGCTGCAACATGCAACTTCACCACTAGATATCACTAAATCTTAACACTGAACCTTTAACTTCCTCATGAGATCACTTGTTAACTGTACAAGTGTTAAACCCATATTAACTCTTAAAGGTGTATAGATAATTCTTCTTAATTACTAAAATTAATGGAAAAAGAGTTTGTTGAAATAAAGGGGCCATATTCAGTTAAAACACATTTATTATTGAAACGTGCACCATATTGACATTTAAAAAAATTATTTGAAACATATATCAAAAATAAACAATATATGCTCATATACATATAATGAATTTTTCGACTCCATACATCCTTACACCATATTACACCCTTGTCAGCATTCTCTGTGAAAAGAGAGCTTTCTGTACAATATATCTTGTAAAATGAATTACAAGTACTAAATTCAGGAACAATATGATCCAATAGCAAATATTTTAGAATAAAAAACCCTTTTTAAACAAAAGAATGGATTTGGTCAACTGAAACGCTGGAGTGCTTTTATTTTGAAACATATACAGAAAGTGTTTCAACCATTGGCTTTGATTGTTATCGACAGACCGGTCGATGCAGGACTTCATACCGTAGAGTCCTGACATTGAGTTTAGTACATATCCGACTTGTATTGAAGGAAATGCAGCAGATAAACCTGCAGCTCCACCGCCAGTAGCTGACACAGCGCATGTGAACAAGAGACAGCCGACACACGGCTGATCTGCGGTGTAACCGCAGTCAGTGAGTCCAGAGAGCTGGTTCTTCATTTACTTAACGAACAGTGTGAAGTTAAATCCACGAAGCAAAGCAGTTTTCACAAGTCAAGGATGCTCTCTGTCTCTGCTTCACTCTGTGTCCCCGATGATGGGGGCAGGGTTAATTCACTGAAAATCACCCCTGAGGTGTCACAGCAGGTTCAGAGTTTAGAGTGGAAAGTAAAGAGTTAATACATTTACACTGAGAGATTTCATAATGGAGTGTCAAAAGAAAGACACTTTCTTTTGACACTCCATTATGAAACAACTATTTGCCAACTGAGAGTTGGCATATAAGAGTTAAATATAAGAGTTTTGACTCTGTCCAGAGTATAATAACACTACTTCTGCTCAAATTTGATCAATGCAGAAAATATAACTTTTGAATTTGCTGTGTGGATCCTTTGCTTTGAGACATTTAAGGTAAATTTCATATTGCAATCATTGAGAAGCTGGAACAAGCTGATGTAATATGCTGTCTCACAGTGTGGAGTAAGATGATTTAACTGTAAAAACTTAAGACTGACACCAATGATTGGATGGTAGACCAGTGGACTGATGAAATTACCAACATGATCACCTATAGAGCCACACTGCTAACATAGCTGAAAGTTTATGAGATGAGAAAATGCCTGTTATTCTCAAACTACGTTGTTTATAACATTAAAATAATGACAGTTTCACAGGAGGGGTTGAGGAGTGTTGATCTGTCAGTAGTAGGAAAGTGGGACCTGCAGTACAGTTGGTTGTTAGTTGTTTATCTTATTTATAATTTAATGTTGTATTACTCTGTATAATTTCCATGACCAAACATTTGTCAAAAAGTTCTGAAAACATTTTTTTATTCTTAACTTTTTTGCTTTTCTGTTTCAGCCCAAGAAGAAGAAGAACATTTCCCATGATACCTTTGGTACCAAGTTTGGCCGGGTGCACATGCAGAAGCAGGATCTGTCCAAGCTGCATACACGCAAGATGAAGGGCCTGAGGAAGAGGAAGGGAGAGGTGGTTGCTGAAGATCAGGCTGGACAGGCACCCAAAATGGCTAAAGAAGAGAACTGATGTCCGAGATTGGGACACCTGGACAGCTGTCATCACTCGTGCATCTGGATCATTGTCCAGAACTGTGTTTATATAACCAACCATGTGCTTATCATTGCCAGCTTTTACTGTTAGAAGGACTTTGCATGTGAGTTGCCACCAGGCTGTCAGGATACAGATCTATTATTCCCTGTCTTCCTTGCCCCTTTAGTTTCCCATGTGACATTCTGACGGTTCTTTGTCATGCACGTGTGAGCTCTCGTCAGTCTTAACAAATGTCATCTACTGAATTATAAGCACGTGTAAAAATGAAAGTTAGGAAATAAAACTTTTTTCTAAACATTTTGTTTTCGAGTTTTAATTTTTAACAAATAGTTTCCTGTGCTCACTGTTGGGTCCTGGTTTTGTTCTTTTGATCACCCGCTTGTGTGATGAATCCTCTGTTATTGAAGAATTGTCTACAAACTTGTGGGGACAGGAAGTCGTCGGACCAGTCAGAGTAGCCACTGTTACATTACATTGCCTGATGGGATCTAAATAAAAGCAAACACCTTTACCTTCTTTCTGTTTGTCTTCCTGAGCAGTTAAGTTAATTACTCCCCGGTTTCACACATTACGATCTTTTTCCTGCTTTATCTAAGAGTAAAATTTTAACTAGACAATAATTAACAACACAGTGATTCTGAGATTAACATTAAATATGACTGGTTACTTTGACTTCACAGGGATTGAATCAGATTGCAGATGCAGTGCTGATAAAATGTTTTTAAAATGTATTTAAGTGGCACTCAATCTTTAGCATTTCTTTGATTTGGGATGAGTACATAGGGGCCGTGTTCATAATTTGAGCGTTTGGGAATTAAAATGAAATGTCATTTTCTGAACGTAAGACTTACACTTGAGGAAAATAAGCTTTGTTTCTTCGAATTATCTTAAAATAAATATTTTATAATGTCACATAACATTTGTTTTCATGTAGGAATTTAATCTGGACTCTTTAATTTGGACTCTTCACCACACATCCACGTGCACGGCTGCCTGCGTGTTCCATCTGTTGTCTATTTTTAGAAGCTGGGCAGAGGAAGTTCGACCGCTCACACAGCAGCAATAAAAATAATCACCTGTGTATTTTATACCCTCCACATTTACTCTGGTCGTGCATGCATCATATCGATCATCAATGGTGATCAATCACCATTACTCATTTTGAGCCAAAATGACAGCGTCCAATCGGACGCAGGGTACCGCTGAGCCCCGCCCCTCCTCGCTGTCTATATATAATATTGCAGCAGCGGCAGCGTGAGGTGAGTGAGAACGGTTCGTGTCGGAGCAGCTCGGCTCACTCTGCAGCTTCACTTCTATGGAGGCAGCTTCATCCTGACCTGAGGCTCCACCGCTCACACACAGCCCGAGCTCCAGCTCCCGCCTTTCTTCTCAGCCCTGCTTCCACCTCCGCATCGTTACCAGCCCCAGCGATGACAGAAGGGACCAATATGCCAGACGGGGATACCGCCGGTAAAGATGAGGTGGCTGCCGGTGCACCCGCGGAGGACCGACAGCCGGAGGAGGAAAAGAAGGAGAACGGGGAGACTAAAGTGACAGTCCCGCAGCAGGCGGCGGCGGCTCCCGGTGCGGAGGAGGTCGAGTTTGTGCACCCCGAGGGCGGCTGGGGATGGGTGGTCATGCTGGCCGCCATGTGGTGTAACGGCTCGGTGTTCGGGATCCAGAACGCCTTCGGCATCCTCTTCCTCTCTCTCCTGCGGGAGTTCGGCTCCGAGAAAGATGACGACCTGCGCTTCAAGACAGGTGAGCGGGCAGAGGGCAGGGCGGGAGTGACGCGCGGCCTCCCGCCTCGGGTGACGTGGGCTGCGTGAGCGTGTAAAGATTAACCGTTGTGGACACAACGGGCCGCTGTAAGCTAACCCCGACGTGTGCTCCGCTGCCAGTGGCGCAGAAAGGAACCTTCGACCTCTCAACACGTCCTCTGCGGGTAAAAATATCTCAGTCGCCCCATGTCATAGAACACAAGTGAAAGAGCTTCTACCACCACCCAGTACATCTGTGTTTATTTACAGCTGTCTAGTCTTGAGGACCACTCAAAGCTCTTTGCAGTACAGTGTTGACAGTCACCTAATGCAGTGCATCTATGGGGGCAATTTGGGGTTCAGTGTCTTGCCCAAGGGCACTTCGGCATGCAGCTGCCCCACAGTGACACTCCATGTTTTCATGGTGTGAGAGGGAAGGGGAAATACAACGGCCTCAGTGACACAGCTGTGGGAGTCAGAGAAGTTATCCCCCAGGTATTTAACCATGTTTCCCTGTGTGTGTGTGTGTGTCTGTGTGTGTGTGTGTGTGTTGTTGGCAAGTAACAGCTGCTGCATATTTTCTCAAGAGAAGTTCACTGTGGAGCTTAAATTATAAACGTCTCAAACAGAATCGCATAGAGAAAAAGCTATTCACCTTCTTACTAAGAACTTGTTTACTTCTAGACGTAGGTTTAAGGCCCAGTCGATCATAGTATTATATGGCATTATACCTTTGTTGATCCATTTTTCCTTCACCACACATTATACTGTGGCGTAGTCATGTAATAAGCGGCGTAGAGACTAACCCAAAGAGTAACGACCATGTGTTGCTCTGCAGTGATTGTAACCACCTGTTGTTGGCGTTTGAGCATGCAAAGCAGAGCTACACCATTTGTCGAGGCTTTAAACCCGGGGAAACGTTGCTGCTACTCTCACATGGTGCATGGGAGCTCGTGGCGACAACGTGGAAAGTGTTGTACCCAGAATGCTTCATGTGGTTAAAGGGATAGTTCACCCAAAATTGAAAATTGACTTATTATCTACTCACAACTATGGAGGGGGTGGGTGGTTAATTCCACAAAACACTTTTGGAGTTTCAGGGGTATACAGCGTTGCAGCCAAATCCAATCCAATTGAGGTAACTGGGGACCCCTTCAAACGTAATAAAATGACACATTAAATGCCTCCATACTGCTCCTGTGGTATCATCCATGTGTCCGTAAACCCCAACATTCAAATTAGACTCAATACTTCGTAATTTACAGTAGGGCTGGGGCGATGCGTCGACGTAATCGACCTTATCGATTACGTCAATACGTCGAATTGTGAAACGTGTGTCGTAAGGAAGGTGGCTGTGCACATTCAAAGCATGGAGTCACCTGAAGAGCAAGCTGAAGCGCCCAGGATCATCTAGGATATATGTCACCAATAGGCAGCCGGACCGGACCCAGAAGCCGTTCTATACAGACTCAGACCTGTGATTAGATTGTGACAGAGTGTTTCTATTTTAACTTGTGCAGCCTTTTTTCCCCATCTTTACGGTAATCTTATTTTAACCTGCGCAGCCTTTTCCGTCTTTACGGTAAGAAATCCTGGCAGCACACCGTAGAATTGACGTCACTGAAATGGGAACAAAGAAAAAGTTAAAGCTGTTTAGTTGTTGAAATTCATTGAGATTGTTTATATGTGTAATGTATATTAAGAAATAGGGGAAACTGAAACCACATCTTTTAACTTATTTTTTCCAAATGAAGCACATGAACATTTATTTTATTATTATTTAGTTATTAGAGTACCCTCCAGTTCAGTGTGAAAATTAATATTACACATTGTTGAAATGCTATTGAAATGTGACTGTAAAAGGCAGATTAGCAGTTCAGACTGGGCTAGTTTTAGTTGTGGAATAATGCCTTGCAGTGCATTTTAGTTTTTTGTCAGATTTGTTTGTATTAAAGGTTCAGGGTGTAGAATTTAGTGACATCTAGAGGTGTAGTTGGGTGCTGCAGCTGTATACTCCTCATCTCATCCTCCCCTTCCAAACATGAAAGAGAACCTGTGGTGAACTTCAGTTGTCATGAAAACTCAAAAGGTTTTAGTTTGTCCAGTTTGGACGACCGTTAAAAAACATGGCGGCCTCCACTGAGAGAACCCCCTCCATGTAAATATAAAGTTTTTAAATATGAAGAGCCCATTCTAAGGTAAAGAAAACAACAATTCATAAAAAAAGTGAAAACATAACTAGGATTATTTTATATTCAAATTCTGCCAAACATGCCTTTCATAAGTAGATAATGAGTCAATTTTCATTTTTGGGTGAACTATCCTCTTACGTCGTGAACAGTGGCATGATTAGGCCTCTGAATATCAATATTTTTCTCAGACATGTAAAAAAAGATATCAACCAAGATATCCACCTAGAATTCAATAAATGTGGCTTTCGTCATTTCTGAAAACAGCAAACACGTCACAACGTGTGAACCCTGAGCTTTCAAAAGAGTGAGAGGTTGGTCATATGAACTTTTCTAGTGAAATCAGTAAACATGACCCCATTTGAAGGCAAGCGTGTGTGTTGACTTAAAGGTTGTTTTTACTGAGAAAAAAGCAGCGTGTGTGATCAATACATTGGTCACTCCAGTGTCTTCCTGTAAAGTGTTTATAAAGCAGATGTTCACACTAGAGCTCCAACTGATATTCATATATGAATCCTATGAACACCTTTTGGCAACTGCAGTAATTGCAGCAACAAGGATGGAAGTAGCCCATTTATACCCTTCAGTTACAGTGATATGTAATAACTCTTTTATGCTGAAATGTAGGGTTCTAAACAGTTCAGCGCATATACCTATTTAAGAAAAGGCAATTGACTCCTTTCCTTTTGTCAGTAGATGAGTTTGCCTTCTGTTTTTGTTACCATGTGCAACATGTTTGACGTCACAAAAGCACAGGAAACTGAGGGGCGGGCGTTCCTTAGTGGGGCTGTAGTGGGTTTTTTGACCAGTAGCATGTAGCATTTGTGAAGCACTTTGGTCAACCAAGTTGTTTTAAATGTGTTGAATAAAATTTGACAGACATTCACAGACACACATTTTTACTATATATATCCTCTGAGATTAAACTCTTTTATGGGGTGGTACATTAGAAACTACAATTGAAATATGCAATTATATCACTGTTTACCATTTAAATAGAATTTATAATTTTCTTCAGGATCATCTCATGTTTGTCTGCTCCCCCCTCTGCATGCCACGCTCACCACTCAAGCACCTCTCCACAACCTGCTCATCTCCACCTGGTCTCCAGCATTGACCTCCTGCCTCGCCAGTCTGCTCCTCAGCTCATTCCCCTTCCCGTTGGCCAGTCATTCAGTCTGAGTCACAGCTCAGCCTTCTTTGGCTCTGTTCTGCAAATCCCCATCCCCACTTTGCCCTCCGCCTGACTAGCTCTGCAATATCTTTTTTTTACCTAACTAACTGCAGTGGCAGTACTCTAGTGTTACTTTTATTCATTTTGAGAGCAAAATTCATTATGACTCATCGAAATGTTAAAATTCCTTTGGGTAAGAACTTCAATTTCAAGTAATTGTTGAGGCACTAGCCTGCTGAACCCCACGTAGATGGTTACTCTGCAATGTGGCCACAAGCCATACATGATATCAAGGCCCAGGGCACAGCTGTGCATGCAAACGCTAACAACTTATCCTGTGAACTCAGAATTATAATACTGATATGCGGATCAACAGAAATTAAAAAACAACTAAGTTGAGTCTAAAAGGTAAACTATTCTATACTTCCAATGAAATGCAACTAAAATATATAACAATGAAGCAGATAAATTAGTTTTTATATTGCCAGTATTACAGAGAAGTGTCGTAATAGAACACGCTGTGCCTCTGGAACCTGTTCAAATTCAACATGTAATCATTAAGGTCTCCTTAAATCTTTGAACCTGGTATTAGAATTGATCTTAACCACGGCTGTGTTTTGAGTGTTCAGGTAGTTGGTATTGATATTGTTGAAAGTAAGAGTTTTAAATATGAAGGCATTGGAATCAACATATTTGTCATTTAGGATATCCAGCGTTTAGCAGAATTGTCCACTATTAGTTGTGATGGCTCTCATCTGCAGTGGCACGCAACTGAAATTAGTTTTGCTTTTCATCTGTTATTGTTAAATGTTCCATGTAGAGTTGTTGACCTCCAGGTTTTGACTGTTATGGCACTGTTACCTTGTGCATGCACCAGCACGTGGCTGTTGTGATGATGATACACAGTCCTGCCAATGATTTCACAGCATTCCTCTGAATTACTGGTGGCAGCCGTGTGCCAAGATATACTGCAATGCACCAACATAGATAGAGAAGAGAAAGACTGCAAGCAAAAACATGGACTTATCAATGCTGCATTTGAAATCTTAGAATATGAAAGGTTGTACTCTCTCGAACCAGTGTTTGGTTTGTCCATTCTGGGCTACTGTAAAAACATTGTGTTGCAACCTGGCTAACTCGGTGGAAAGTGCTCATCCTAAGGTAATGATTTTGAAATCATATTCAATTTTTGCTGATTGACCTCCTGAAATTCTACACACAAGACCTGAAGTGAATTTAAAAAGTTGAGCGCTCTATGTGTTCAAAAGTAACTGTTTCTAGCATCAACGCTTTTATAGTTTGTTTTTGTTCATCTTTCTGTTTTTCGTCTCCAACATATGTTTAGTTTGCCATCCTATCCTTTCATGGGGTGGGACTGTGCTTTCTCACCTCTCAATTTCAGCTGTTTTGTTTTATAAGAGCATGTTTGCGATGTGAGTACCATGCACAGCAGTGTTTTTTTTCTCTCTCTGCTCTTACACTGTAATCTGTTGTGAGAGCTCACCCAGCTGTCAGCCCCCGTCTAGACCTCTTACGGTCTGCCTGTCAGTGCTGCATTTAGTTGGAATCACCGAGGAGCTCTAGTAAGTGGTGTTGTAGTGTTAGAATTTTACTAGCTGTCACGTTTCACTAACTGCA